TTCATTTGTCTGGAGAGATTATCTGACATAATTTGCAATTGATTGTTATATTTGCTAATAAAATAATATCAAAGTAACAATATAATCTGTGTGTTTTAATAACTTAAGTCATTTAAATTGTTATATTATGTAGAAATATGCAGCAGGTCAAAATCTCAGCAAATGGGCAGTGTCACAAACAACAACAAACGTTCTGMCATCTGAAAATAAATCAGCTGTTGAATGCATTAAKGACATTACCTCAACCATTTTCTCTCTGTTCTTCATTGGATTCATTGGAGGCTCAGTTAGCAGTACCTGAAAAAAGGACAGAAAATATAAGAAAAATAGGCACAGGAAATAAACAAAATACCCCACCTTCAACATGCAATCATGAAWGTTGCCATTACCTTGCATTCTCGGGGATTAATATTTAGTTTATTTTCTCCAAAAGTATAATCCCAGACGTGCTTCATATCGTCCCAGCTCCTCACAATTCCATTGTCCATAGGRTAGTTYACCTCAAGCATATATCTTAGTTTGCTGGCTTCATCACCGACCATCAAATCCTAGAAATTCACCAGGAAGTTTTAGATTTTATCAAAAATCTTACATCAAATGGTWTCATATGARTGACRTCGACAAGCGTTCTTCTGTTCAGTTAATGCATTCGGTGTTACCTTGATTTCTATGTCTCCAACTTTTTGAGTTGATCGAATAATCGGCCGTCCAACCATCGACGGAAATATGTGAGCGGGGAAGTTTGAGCCAGCATATCCACACTTTACAAACTGCAAAAACACTAYATTTTAGGCAWGTTTCGAAAAAATGAAGCAYCAGGAATACAGATTAACATACCCCTGTTCCATTGTCACATACGATGACTTTGTTGCCCTTGGAATCCATCGCGGATGAAGGCAGATTCTGAGCCTCCTACTATGCAAAATTTTCAAGATGGCGGAATACAACTTCCTCCTCCACCTAAATCACGTGACTTCRATAAATAAGGTGCCCCTCCTCCTCTAACCTCGTCCTGGTGCCTGCTKTGTCGTCACATGGAAATGAAATGGAATGAGAGCCAACTGAGAAATGGCARGAACGAAAAGAAACAAAGATGAAAAATACTGAAAAATAATAAAAATAAATGATATAAAATATTTACATGTATTGCGTTACAAGAAAAATGAAACCGAAATGTTCCTTTGTGTATTTAACAATCTACATGTTATTATAAAAAAGATATTTGCTACTTACTGCTCATTCTTTTGTGCACCATAAAGAAAGACGATTAAAAAAAAAACGATGAAGTATTTATACACGTTTGTGTTTACGGCTGTACTCACCACAGGAAGCCCATAAGTCGACCTATGAAATCACAAATGACTGAACAAAATAATTTTAGTGCTTTCCCATTTTATAGTGCAAGAGATTTTATGCCAAAATCATACAAGATCAGTGATATTTTAATTTCWYTTGAATTWAGATCTRKGTGAACAGCGCAACGCATCCATAAACCGAAAGAGATCATTAMTATTACTAGCYAGGTTTAKTTGCTCAGTGCTTCAGCCCTTCTCAAGACTTGTGACATAGATTAATGAAGWCATTTKTACTTTTCTGGGGTTTTGATGAAAATTGTATAAGTTAAATGCGGTAATTATGGAGTGCGGTTTCTGCTTCATTTTGGGTGTCATATTACAATCAACCATACCAAAGAGGCATGCACAATCGTTTCTTCTTTATACTAGTATCCAGGTTTGCTACATTATATACCTCGTTTCTACAGGTAAGACATCTTAATAGACTTGCAATATGTGTGTTTGAATCGATCGACAAGCGTTTTTCTGTGATAAATTTGCTGTTTTTGTTGTGCAAAAGCAACTTGCCTTGTGTATGTTAGTTATTTGGAATCTACAACGGTTCGAACGTTCCTGAATAYATACAGGGAATCCTATAAGATTCACCATCAGATTTATGGTGCTTATATAGCATGTTAAACACCGACACGTCACTCAACTGTACATTACTGTGTTGTTCGTTTTCATAGGTCCGTTTCGTGTTTATATCTCGTGTTTATATATGATATATGCATATATACAGTATATCAGATATATGGGTATGTATATGTTGGAGTTTAAACGATGCATTCAAAGCGTAAACATAGCTGATGAGGTAGATTCTATGACTRAACAGTGAATATGAAACCTTTTCTATAATAGTAGTTTTTTCCATAGCGTACAAGGCTCTATTATTCAGGCTAGCACTTGCATTCTGACCACAACAAACACCATGGATTACCCAATGCGTGTACAACATCCTTCCAATCGTCACACTGACAGCATATTTAGGGTTTAGGCGATAAGAKAATACTAATCAAGCTAATTCGGACTTTCCTTTGCAGAGGCCAGTTGACCAGWACAGACCATGACCCTTCAAGTAACCAGTAAAGTSGGACGACGACCGCTGTTTCTTCTTTTTGCCATTTGTATGCTATTAGTACTCGTGTTCACTTCGCTGTTAATGACGTCAAATTACCGCTCRWCTCTAAAACACCTCCCATCAGTGCARGGAATTTATGAGAAAATGCCGTTCTTTAATGCAAGTTATTTAAGACTTTATGCTAAAACGACGTGTCCAATATGCCCCTCGCCTACGCCTTGTCCAACAGAGTCTCGCTCTACTTGTAAACCAGGAATGAGAAAAAAATGCCCGACACCGAAACCTTGCCCAYTACGATACACCGAGTTTTCATATTTCAAAAGAGAATTAAGTAGACAATTRCTGGAYATTCATCGAGAGATGAGGAATTCCATTGAACGAAAAGCCGCACCATCACCTCAGGCGTTATTAAAACTCGAAGGTATAATGGAACAACTAGAYAAGGGTTAYAAAGCATCTAAAATCATGGAGCCAGAACAYGCATCTTATCYCAATATAGACAACCAAACACTTGATGTATGYCCTGAAAAATACCTCGGCGAGAAGARGGGATATCCWTTCTTTCAAACTGGTTGGACAACAACAAATTGTAGCAATGTAAAACCTTTACCTTCTGTAATCACAATCTTGTTGAACACTTTAGAGTACCCTGAACCTTACGAGGACAAAGTAAATCTTGTTCTACGTGGTATCCATCAAACCTACCCTGGTGTTMARGTTTATCTAGCTCCTAAGAATGAAAAAATTAAAGAGATTGTTAGTCGTTGGCCGAATGTMACTGCTATCGAGTTCAACAGTAGTCGACTTACCATGGGTAGAGTMTGGAATAAACTTGTGTCTAAAGTAAAAACCCCTTATACRTTGATAGGGCGTGGTCTTGTTCACTTTACATGGACAGCGCGWATAAGAAGACAAATTCGAATGATCAGTGAGATAGACTATGTGGGGGTTGTTGGGGGATCGTTTCGTAACTGGACAGGTCACTGGAGAATCGGTTGTCGACAAACCAAAAAGAAAAACTACGTCCTGGAGTATCAAGAAGGTTACCACTATTCTACTCGCTCCTGTATGTTTTGTGACGACTTAGAAGGTCCTTTTGTTGCTAAAACAAACATCTTGAAGTCTGCCGAATTTGGTGAAAAACTACCAAGTGCAGTAGTATTTGAAGATTTCTTTTTGAAAGTATTCGATATGGGTTATTTGACGATGAACTGCCCAGACGCAATGTACTTTGCCAATGATGACTCGAGAGATATAAAGAGAAGCGATCGTAAAGTTTGGGAATTCTTTTCGGCCAAGTGGAAATTTGTACGAATTTTACTTCCAGGGGGAGTCATGCATAGTTTCTCGTGTGAAGATATTTCCTATCGATGTGCCACAAAAGTAACTAAATATGCAACTATGCCAGCATGTTGTCTTGAGGAATACGGCAGGGCTATGAAATTCTTTTATGATTTGTGCCAAGAGCACAATATTCTATTTGAGCTTGATTCAGGTTCTGTGCTGGGTGCGGTCAAAATGAGTGGTCTGATGCCATACGATGTGGATGGGGACATTTCTTTGCTGTCCAATAATTTCTCCATACTATATTCCTTTCAGGAGTATATCCGTCAAAAGGGATTCAATTTAAATGCTTATTCAAGGCCAAAATGGGACGTCAATGGAACCATTATCAAAAGCAAAAAAGGTTACCTAATGTTTCATAGCCCTCACATTTACACGGAAATCTACGGCTGGCCAACGCTTTCGGGTTTTTTGTTTCTACCACCAGAACTTCGTGATCCCGTGTATTTTACCAAAGTACTTATGAATGGACACTGGATAAGTTCGTCGTTTTGTCCAGGACTTTTCGCTCGTAATCGTTATGGTCTTGATGTTCTGAAACACTCACAAAGCTGGCTACAGGTCGGAGGGATGGGTTCTAGTTGGAGTAGATATAAAGCCGGCAGATTTCTGGGTTGTAGGTACCCTAAATTTCATGCTTGTTTGGACAAGCTTCCAGCTGATGGTAACATAGCTTTTCAGGTTCCTCCAAGAACAGACAAATATACTGAACAAACAACGACAATCTCGCCTACTACAAAACAGCAAGACACATAGAGATATCAATAACAAAAAAAAAACATATTTGCCAGTTTGATAATGTTTGATACAATGCAACTCGTGTAAAAAAAAGATATTTATATAAATTCTTAAACTAAGTTCGACGCTTTTTAAATGATATAAAAAGACTTGAAAAAATAACACATCACTATTATTTTACTTTTCTCTTATATATTTCATAAGTAAATGAAAACTAGAACCACAAAAGCGGTCACCAATGCAAACGAGGCTACAATTCCAATGATTTCCACCGCTCTTCTTTCTTGTGAATACYGTGTTGTCTTTAAATAATGGAAAGTCATATTGTTGTTTAAAGGCTGGCAAGACTCKTGTCCATCTCCATGGAAACCAGGAATACACTTGCACGTATACGARCCCACAGTATTTGTGCACATTGCGTTCCTATGACAGCTGTGGTTGTTGACTATGCACTCGTTGATATCTGTAACAAACGTTTTTTTGCTACTTCACAACATGGCGAGAAGAATGGATGAAACACTTCCAATTGTATCTTAATTCTATAGTAGAATATCATACCTATGCAAGAATATCCATCGCCATTATAACCACGTTTACATTCACAGATGAATTCTTTGTTAAGCAATGTACATAGACCAGCATTTTCATCGCATGTGTCTTCAGCATTTTTGCAGAGTTCTTTATCTGAAACCAAACATTCATAAGAATTCAAGCTTTTGTTTGTGAATTCGATAAATGAAAAAAATATGATTTAACGTGCATGATAGAATAGTTTCGAGAGAAGTGCGCAAGTGATAGGTCATCTAGGAGCCCGTTAGCTCTCTAACTTTTTAATTAGTTTCGCGCGAAGTTTTTAGTTAGACGAATTCGAAAACAGTCACGTAAGTCAATTCGACACCAAATCTTTTCGGACAAATTCAAATTGGTTTAGAAATGATTTTTTCATCCTCTCTTTTTTCTTTCTTATTTATTTTTATTTCTCTTCCTGCATTCTCATTTATCTGAAATAGTTAACACTTACCACATTCCAACGTGTCATTGACACGWGATAACAACTTTCCTTGAAAGTTCTCGGGTGAGGCGCACTTYACACCATCAGCTTCCAGTATCACAAATCGATGCTTTTTGAACGACCGAGTCATTTCTTGCCTCAACCACTCAAGGCGGCAATCGCAATTCAAAGGATTCCCATTGATTTTTCTGAGTATAGAGTACACATTTCACTTCTTTTCCCTTTCATRCTTAAAGATAAGCTTTGACCATAGCAAAACTCTACTACTCACAATTTTCTTAGTAAATTYAAACTTGCCAGGGAGAACTCATCCAGAGATTCGAGTTTGTTTTGTGTCAGGTCCCTAAAAAACGTAGTTGGCCTTATAAACTTTTTGGAAATTTAATTGATACTAGTAAACGCTTTTTGCTGTAGACTGGTACTTACAAGTACTGCAGTTCTCGTAGGTTTTTGAAGGAATTCTGATCAAAGCGTGAAATGTTATTTGAAGCTAAAATTCTGGGTGAAAAATTGAATAAAAGTTCACTCAAGTTTTCAGTAAGCTTAAAATRTTTAGAAATTATTTTTGCTTACAATCTTCGTGTTCGTACTCCGAGTGTTGGTACACTGTTAAGGCCGGCGTTTGAGCAGTCAACAGCTCGTCTCACCGCATCGTACTTGCACGTTGAAGGTAGGATATTGCCATTTGTAAGTAGTAAAACTGTAGAAAAACTAAGTATTGCAAGAAAAATTCCAAGTTTAGATCTGCGCATTACACACGGTTCGTCACATACAAAATGCGCGCGTCAGTGACGTCACAATTGATATCTGACGAYCTCTGCGCATGTCACAGATGTCACTAGGGATTGTGGGATTTCTACCCAGGAGTCTTTGCGCAATTTTTGTTGTTTATACCAAACTAATAATTTTGAGATATACTTGTAGATGTATTCATAGCTGTGGAGTTGGGATGCATGGAGTTAGAACTATTTCAAGTGAAGCTCATTTAATATTTAAACTCTTTATTTTTATAAGTAGTTCTTTCTTCACTTATTTCTCGGCATATTGATTCTGCCAGATCCACTTCTTAAATTGTACAATAGTTTCCTTCTAGTAATATAGACTGTGTGCAAGTTTAACTAACATTTCTCGTTGTTTTATGTATCAAATCCTCCTTATTGCTTTTACCATATTGCCAGCCTGGTTGAAATGTACCTCAAAAACAAAATATGGCCTCCCTTTGATAATGTTATTCTTGTACTTTGCTACAGTTCAACACAGCTGTATCAAAACCTCTCAAATAATCTGATAAAACAAAAATTGTTCAATTATACATAATCTATACTCCTGTGTCTGTAGGAGGGGTGCTGGTTGGCTGTAGATGTCTTGTTAAGAAGAACATAAATAGAGGTTGAAGAGCTGCTATGAAGAGAAGCATGTAGACTCTTCGTTTACTTGTTCTTGTTGTGGAGTCTGATTCAGTCTCTGGCATGATTATTAACCGGAGAGTCCGAATCTATAAAAGAAAAACATATAGTGATGTTCTTGCATAAAAAGCTCAAAAAACTGGATGTGTTGCCTGTATAAGTTTACTTATTTTACATTTCATATTATTGTTAAAAAAACTACTAAGGCTTTCTTTTTTACAGATTGAATAGCAACACTATTTTAAAAATCACCCATGCAMAGATATAGAATTCARCATGAACCAGCAGGATATGGATAAATTTCAATATTTGTGTGTGTGTGTTTGCTYAGCTCATATCAAGTTTAGAAMTTCAGTCACCTACCAAGAAGAATGCATCAGTTGCACTTGTGTAAATAAACACGCTATAATATCCAACTGACTTAAAAACCAGACCACCAAKACAGCTTAGAATCATTCTGAAAATATAATGATTATACTAATTACTCTCTCTTTTCTTACACATAAAGTAAAATGAGAATAATTTATATTGTTTTACTGTTTTTCTTCCTAAATTTTATTTCTTTCATATTCTTTTTGTTTATTCCCATTCAATTTTCAGTTTATTAATTTATTTTCACTCTATTCATTCTTCTCTCTCCTTAGCCTGTTCTAGTCTCAGCAATCTGAATTACATTTGAGACATGTGCAACCACATGCCCACAATGTTAYACTCAGACTTGCTTCCTTACTACGTAATCATCACTATCTCACAAAAGGAGTAACCACAAAAACCATTAAGGGAACCACTTACCCAAAGTATTTATATCCACAGAATGCTACCAAGTCAAAAGTCTTGATTTCTGATTGTACATTACACATGTACAAAGAAAATAAAATAGCCATGATTTCAACAAACAACCAGATTAATGTTGAACTGGCAGTTATACCAAGTTGTTCTGGTGTAAACCTGATGAAAAAAATGACATCAAAATCTTATGTACAGCCAACAYTTACTTAATGATCAACCATCTCAAGAATTAACTAACTCAACTGAATCCCCCCTAAATTGGCATCTTAGAATTCAAACATTTATTAAAGTCAAAAATACCTGTTTTGTGTGCCTAAGACAAGTCCAGCTACAAGAACATAGGTCACAAATGCCATCACTAAAAAAATAATGTGTACTATGACATTAAAAATACTTAAAAAATGTAAGTAGGGAAGGAGGTACTGATTTGCGATGTGGTCTAATTATTTAAAGATTTTTTGTGTCAATATCAATGCATTTTTACTCACCAGGGATATACAAGTCTGGTGCATTTATTTCATATCTTGGTGCAACTGGTTCAGCTTTGTTGTACTGAATACCCCAATTCTACAAAACAAATTTCAAAATTTCACAAATTATTCAATAATGTAGGGTCAGTATGCAAACTGGATAATACTGTAATCCATTCCATAAATTTGCACAACTGCTATCCATTGTATAATGATTTATCCTTTATAGAACTGGYCCCTGTAGTATATCATTAAATACATATATTAAATAATTTATTGTTGTTACCTTGTGAGTAAAAGGAAACAAAAGTAACCCAAGTTTCTTGACTACATAATTTGTATCGACTGCAAAATAGTACTTTAACTTGGAAACTGATACAAATCTATCCAGCTAAAATGAATCATAACAAATGTGTCATTAAAACATAAGTGTTCAATACAGACTAGAATTTGCTACCTTGCAAATTTTGTTGCACAGACATTATGTGACAACATTTCCAATACTTTCTTGCATATTCAAGACCACCCTTTTAAATAGACTTGCCCAAGTTGGACTCTATTTTACTCCCAGGAACGGGCGAATATTGAGCGCGAAGCGAGATGGTCGGAAAAAAAAAATTGCGAAAGTCTACCTTTTATTTTTTTATCACACAAGCAAATTGAAAAGACTTTCTTGCATGAAGACTATTGTGTACACAATTACAAATACAAAGCTAAGGATTACCTACTACATCAAGTGCTGTACATTTTAAAATGATGACTTACATTTTTCTCCATGTATTCTTTGCCTTGTGAGGCCATATTAGTACCATATTGAAATGCCATGTTTGTGACTGGAGCTTGAAGGAAATCAGCTCCTGTAAACTGCTGATTTGGTATTGGACCTTGCTGGTCTGCACTCGTGTCGTCAAATARATGGGAGCCTGATCCCCCTCCATAACCTCCTCTTTGACTCCGCTGGTATGCTAGTAAAACAAATGATAACAAAGATTAATAACTAGATAATACAACAACAACACCACATATAACAACAATGACAACATCAATGGCAACAACAACAACAACGACAATGGTATTCTAATGAACAAATAAGATGACTTGAATGTTGTAACTTAAGTGAAACCAATCACAGTAATTAACTATGTTGATCTAGGGTGAGAGCAATAATTATGTCTAATTATTAGACATTGTGCACCTGTACTATAAATGGAATATTTACAGTTTATCAACTGTGTGGAAAAAGGAAATTGAAGTGTCAAAGATGATAAAAGGAAAGGGAGAATAGAAAGCAAAAAAGTTAAGTATCTCTTCTCTCAAATGTACTSATATAATTATATGCAAAATAAAGTACCTTTACCCAAACACAACATAAGCCCAATTTCAAAAAGAACAATCATGGCAGAATTGTTTCTTTAAGAATGAACTACYGGTATATAAGCTTTCAGGAATACAGTCAGGAGTAAGGAAAGTTTGTTTTACATACTACCTTTCTGGTTCCTTTTCTGTACTGGAGGTTGATTATAGTAAGGATTGTCCATATCTACAGATAGCAAGAAGAGCCAACAAAGATGTTGGTAAGAAGTCGAGAATGTAATAGTTGTCAAGATCAGAGTATTTAGTTAATAGTTAATTACGTTAATTATCCTGAGAGATTGAATGGATGTTAAATCTGTGCAATGCTGGAAAATTACAATTAAAGATTTAAGTTTTGTTTTATTAAACAAGCAATTTATAATAAGTCCAAAAGTTATTATATTGACTGAATTTACATTTATGTTTCATTGTAGTACATATTAGATCATTAAAAACTAAAAATGTTTTAATTTTCAGTCTTGACTACTGTAACTTCTTGTAACATTTACTATTTTAAGTTGTTATTTTAAGAGATTTTGAGAGATGTACAAGACGTATGAGTTCAAATAAAAAAAAAGTGGTACAGAAGTATTTGAACAGAAATGTGTCGGTTGTGAGTGATTATTACACAAGAAAATACCATTCATTTTAGAGATTAATCTCTTTCTTGTACCTGAAGAAGAGATAGCATTAGAAACTACAAGAAAAGAAGGAAGATGTAGAAGAATTTGTGAATKTTTTCATCTGTAGAAATTTATGTGATGTGATCAAAATATTTGAATTTAATACAATTAAAAATTTGATGGAGACATTAATTGAATGGATGAATATTAGGTATGAAAAACTCGTTCCAGTTTTATTTGTAAGTATTGCTCTCCTTTTAAATTCATTTTTATAGCTTAGCACAGGAATCCCATGAMGTTAACTTTGCTGTATAACATTTTCACACTTTTAGCGTTTCAAGTCATAATACTTAATCTATACGATACACAATTTGGACACCATCACACATTTTTTAAATCTTATTGTCAGATTTTTAAGATATTTCAATGCTTATAGACCTTATATTTTGTGCAAATTTTTTAACGACACAATGACTGCATTGTGTTCTACACAGACAGCTCATATCATCTATGTGAATCCGATCACTTTTTATCATACTAGCACAAGTATTTCTAACGATATAGCATTTAATATCAAGTCAACATTTGTATACTATTAAGTTAAATCTACGCTAATAAGCAAAGMACTAAAACTTTTMAAGGTTTAGATCAGACGTGTGWTGGTGAATCCTTCAAGGCAAGCTCAACCATTAGGAAAAACGTTAATTCCAGTAGATACCACACTTATYAAAACTTCGACAGCTCAACTTACCATTCATAGGGGGATCCATGATGTTGTCTTCGTATTTTCGCCGTTACATGAACATTAAAATCTATATGTCTTACATGTACAGTTGTCGACTCTACATTCACTTTACTGCGCATGATCACTTACAACCGTGACGTCATATCAAGTGAAGGACGTGGCAGAAATGACCAAAGTGACCAAATGACCAATTGAACAAATTCAAAGGAAAAATAATAATAACTAGACGCATAGCTGCGTGAACTCGGGGTTCTGCTTGAATATATCATAAAACGATGAAGCGACAACAATGAGTGTTGTAGTCGAAGAATTGAGAAGAATTGGACTATATTGAACCTTAATAAAGTTAATAGTCACACTATCAAAAGGCGTAAAGCAAAAAAATACTTCCTGGAATAAAAAATAATAAAAAAACAGTGTACTCAGCATAAATATCATGAAAAAATTGATCATCAGCAAGCCGGTCTTTGATAGTCACATGACAGGCTGTAAACACAGAGTCTTTTATCTTCTCCGCTCTTCCATTCGTCGGCTTTTCCTCAGAAGAATCTGTTCGCATTCCTTAGACGAGACCTTACTAGTTTCAGAGCCTGCATAAGTTCGTATACAGTTCGCTTGTGCTAAGATAGGTAGCTTGTCTGATAGACAATTCTCGATAGACTCGATCTCGATAGACAGTAAGATAACTTCTCGATAAATTTACGTTATCTTCTGAAATTCCTTTTTCGGAAAAACGCTGGTCATATTTTAGTGTGGCTATGCCACGAAAGTGAGGATATTTTTAAGTGATTTGAGCGTATTTGTAGACGTTGATTAATTTCTGTTTCTTCCACCTCGCGTATTACAGTCTCGCCGGTTTGCACATGAAGTCATCAGTCGAAAAAAATTCTAAAATCACAGACACACAACATTAAAGTACTAAAATACCTTGAAGAGCATAATGGAAGTTCTCTCTGAAAGTTTCAACTATTTTTGCTGTTTATTCGTTGAGTATTAACGTTCACAAATATGTCTACTTGAAACACGCAAAATTAACCTCGGAAAGCCTATAAATCTTAAAGCAACTATAGTCTCAGCATCAGATTAAATTTTTAGAATGATATTGTTAGAAAACTGAAGCAAAATCATTACTTTTGAGCTTATTTCGACACTCGGAGTTACTGTCCGCGTGGTTGTGTCATGTTGTGTACTGGATAGTACACCAAGGCTTTCCCATACATTCCCTTGTAAAGTAAGACCATATTCAAACGCTTATATTTTTGCTAAAAAATCGCAGTTTGACTTCAAACTTTGCATAATTGTTGGGAATTATATGCTGTTTTTGGCCATGAACATGAAAAATTCATTTAGATCTTAAAACACAGCCTTTTGTAGTTATTTCTTGACCTGTCTAAAACGCATTGAGCCGTGATACCCATACATTCTTACCAATTTTCGTTTGCTCGTATTTCTGTTAAAAAGCATTATTTTGGCTCAAACTTTCGCAATAACACTTTCATTTAGATTTTCTATCGAGGACAATAATAATATTTTGCTAATTTGGTCTCTAAATAGCATTTTTAGCATAACACGTGATTATGAGCTTGGGCTACCTGTGGACAATTTGTGACTGATAAGCGACAAAGAAAAAAAAAAAAAAAATAAGAAGCCCGAAATTTAAACTCTGGGTTCCAGAGTTTTTTTTGGTTTTTTCTATTGTGAGGCAGCTTTTTCGCTTCTCGCGCCTTTACCATTTCGATGTCAACTGCATATTACGCTGAAATTTGCCAAATACTTAGGGTTGATCAAAGTTTTCCAGTTCAGTTCTGTAAAAAATGTTCTGAAGCCAATTTACAAACAAATCGCATATGGCTAAACTATTTATAAAGGAGATTATTAAGAAAAAGGGGAAAAGGAAAAGAAGAAAGAGAGGAACTGTGATCTTGTGCGGGCCTGTTACTAAAAGTCATCATACGCTACATTTCACATTTTCATGTTTAATTCAAATTTATTTTTCAACTTGTCATTTACTTGTCATTGTGGTCTTGACGAATTGGATTTACCAGATCCATCAGGATTTTCTACATAGCATCGCGTACATCTCCTTCCGCCCAGGCCGTCGGGTGAGGCGATGCATCTCTTTTATCGGGGCAAATGGAACTATCGTAGACACAACCAGATCCATCACGATTTTCTACATAGCATCCCGTACATCTGATGCCAGGCTTCGGGTGAGGCGATGCATCTCTTTTATCGGGGCAAATGGAACTATCGTAGAC